TGCTCAAACTGCTTCAATCATTAACTGAACTAATTGTTGTTTTTCTCTGATTGGATGATTTACCGTGCATCCATGTACTGTGCATAGGCTGTGGATAAAGATGGATGTCTCCACTTCCTCTCAAGAACAAAGATGAAGCAGAAATTTCTCAGATATGAAGGCTGCCATCTTACACTGGTGGCATAATTTGGGGTCAGAGTGGAGTCGTGGATACACGTGTTCAACCTGCCGCAAGTCTGAGCTGTCAATCGAGATGGCTCACCCCACTTCTATATCATCAAATAACAGAACTTATCAGAAACACAAACATCAGGTGTGATAAGAACTACCTGAAATGACAGAAATCATCTTTGAGAAAAAAAAAAATGACTTCCAGTTTGGTCCATGTCCCATCTGCTAACGTGGAGATGTTCCATCTTAAGTACAGACTTTCGTACTGTATTTGGAACTGCTGTAATTTTTATTATTTCATGTAAAAGATGAAGCTTCTGGTGAGAGGAACGTCCATTACATGAGTAAACCAGCAGTAAGTGAGAGAGTGTGTGGAGTAAAGAGTCCCAAATACAAAATAACAGAAGAAGCACACGGAAAAGTAAACAGAAATCCTTTCAAGCAAGACCTCGGTTGACTCCTTTTCATTTTTCTCTGGCGAATGTTAAGGTTCAAATGACAGAATCAGAGGTCTTTTTTTAATATATCAGAGGATTTACTGATATTTACAGGATGTCAAATTTTACAGATGGTTTCAAGGTGTTATTAAAGTTTATAATAGCAGAAGCTATACAATGATACTTTATCGCCAGCCTGGGGAGAACAAACTTCTAATTTGTGTATCATCACTGCACATTGTCACACTGATGAAGCTGTTTTCCAGCTGTGGAAGGTGTAGTGCACTGGTTGTGTATGGACAGCAGGGAGTGCTAAAGTCAAACACCTTACTTTTCTTCCCCAAGAACATGTGAAAATCCCTGCGGAGATTGTGTGCTGGGTGGAGATTGCCAGAAAAAGTTTGCGTGTGAGGGAGTGAGAGAGAGTGTGTGTGTTTGATAAAGTTCTCATAGCAGAGATATGAGACGTGCACTGGTCTCAGCAGTCCAAAACACTCCCGCAAATCTTGCTGACAGTGGACGACGGGCATATAGAGTTAATATGAGAAAGCTAATGAATATGAATGAGGTAAATGAAAGCTGATGAATGTTATCCCTTATCTCCATAAAGATTAGACAATTCCCTTGAACCTCTGCCAAGGACATACACAATAAAGAACAAATTTGAAGAGCTTGTCTAGCAATTTGATGGACGTTGATAAGGTTACATCACAAGGCAGTGATATATAATAATATCTGGATAAGAACAGTGAGTGTGATCTGAGCTGGAACACAGAGGAGGCTGCGGTTAATTTATAATAGAATGTCCATCGTCATGGCCACTGCTAAAAGAAAAAAATCTATGTAGATTTTAAAGGATCTTTTAACAATATCCTGGGGCTAATATAAACATTAAAGTTATTAAAATGAATATGACTATTAGGGTCTTTTCTCCCCAAGAGACTACTGGTGGCTGACGAAAAGATATATATTCTCATTTTCCTCTTCATTTTCCTGGTGTCAGATCAATCATGCACCATCCCAACTCAAGGTGAAACCCATCAAAGTGTCATTTCCCCCATTGTCAGTTATTCACAAAAAACACACAGACAGGCAGGCAGACTAACAGAAAGAAAGCATCAACAAGCGAGTTGGGGGGAAACAAACAGCCGTGATGCCCAGGGAGATTAATCTGTTTTACTGGCAATCCTCAAGAGCAAAACGGGGAAAATTCACTGTGAACACAACTCCCAGCCGTAAAATCGGCTCATAAACACCACTGGGCTGCACGCACTAAAGTGCTGAGATAAAGCCCGTCCAATCTAAGAGATAAGATAAATTGTTGAAACTTTGCTCAGAACATGTTGCCTAGAGAAACCCCAGGTGAGAAGCCAAGAGGAGGATCTTCATGAAAACTCAAGCTGGAGGACAGAAGAGTCAGTCAAGATCTGTGAAGTGACAGTGTTCGCCATGATGTGGACGGCAAGTTTCTGCCTCCTGTGGGCTCTGTCCGCCCTCGGTGCTCCGGCAAACAAACAGAGACAGAGAATGCTGCTGATCTCTTTCGACGGTTTCCGGTGGGATTACGACCGCGATGTAGACACACCGAACCTTGACCAAATGGCCATGGATGGAGTCAAGGCCCTGTATGTCACACCTCCGTACATCACCATCACCAGTCCTACACACTTCACCCTTTTGACAGGTAAAGAGTTTCATTTTCTACAACAGTGCTCCCAATAGGCAGGGGATCTGCATATCATGACAGAATAGGAAACCGCTCTGAGTTTACTTTGCGAGGACAGAAAAAAGCCATGGGTAAAGGGAATTAGTTGTAATTGAATGTCCCAGAGTCCAACAGCTTTTATAGCTGAGTAAGATGATTATGCTTGGATGACTGAGGGAAGAATTCTCTGCTCCCTTTCTTATTTTGACTCTCAAATCATCAGTGCCAGCTAAAAGAAATTTAACTTCCTTGAAATTAAATTCCTATAATCTCCGAAGTTGGTCGTAAGACCTTGTCCAAAAGCGTCATGCCACTCAGCCTGTTAAGTTGATAGAATTCTTAATGTGAATGTGCCACGCTATGAATAATGAGTGCAAGCCGACTGACAGTGATTCTCCACTCTAGGCCGCTACGTTGAGAATCACGGGGTAATCCACAACATGTGGTTCAACACAAGCACCTCGGAGAAGAAGCCCTACTATCAGACTCAGTTTGTGAATGAGTGGTGGGACAATGGCTCTCTGCCGATCTGGATCACAGCGCAGAAACAGGTGTGTGCAGCACAATTTCCATCTTATCTCTAAGAAACCATTTCGTCTGACAAAATGACTGGAAAATCCTGCTGAATGATTTCTGATAGATCACCACAGTTAAGCTGCTTTCAGACATGCAACGAGGTCCGGACGTTTTCCTGAAAGTTTACAGAGGGGCTGTGTGTCAAAATGTCAGCCAGTTGCTCCAGACATTTTTCCGGAGCTTTTCCTGCCAGCCCCCTGGTAAAAAGTCAGAGTGAGCGAGTGAGCATGTTGATGGGGTTTCTGACAGAATAAATATATCTCAGAGCCATACGACGCAGATAAAGTCAACAACTTGGAAAGAAAATGTCCAGCATGCTCTACCATGCCACCCCTCACCTCACATTTTCCTGTTGTTGTGAACACATTTGACCCAAACAATCTCTTACTCGTTTTCTAGACAGAGTTCATGTTTGAAAATTACTGAAGACTGCAAAGTATTTCACAGACAAATGGTAAACCTTATGCAAATGGGTACAGCTGTAAAGTTCAGTTATAGGTTTCAGAAAATCCATGAAAATATACTACTTAGATTTCCTTGCAGATTGAAGCACGAGTGATGTTAATGTGTTTTCTCTCCTCACTCTCAAGGGCCTAAAAGCTGGCTCTCTTCACTTTCCTGGCACAGCTTCTAGTTACCAGGGACAAGTTGCTATGGTGCGGGAAGTGGAGCCACTGCTTTACAACTACAAGAACGAGACAGCGTGGAAAGAGAATACAAACAAGGTGATGGGCTGGTTCAGAGACCAGGACCTGGACTTTGTGTCCATGTACTTTGGTGAGCCAGACGGCACAGGCCACAGATACGGCCCAGACTCCCCAGAGCGCAGGAAGATGGTCAAGCAAGTTGACAGAACTGTGGGCTACATTCGCCAATCAGCTGAACAACACGGCTTGACCAGCAGTCTCAACATCATCATCACGGCGGACCACGGCATGAGCAACGTGTACCGCAATGGTCTGGTGAAAGAGATCACCCTGTCCACCATTCCGGACTTCTCCTTCAGAGACCTGTCGTTTCACTTGGTGGATTTCGGGCCCTCTGGGATGCTGCTGCCAAAGCCGGGCAAATTGGAGAAGGTTTACAGAGCTTTAAAGGACGCCCATCCACACCTTCATGTTTACAAGAAGGAGGATATGCCAGAGCACCTCCACTTCGCCAAAAGTGATCGAATCCTTCCCATCATTTTATGGGCCGATCCTGGATACGTGATCAATGGGGTGAGAGGACAGATAAAATCATCTTTTCTTTTCACCTCGTGCTTGTTAAAGAATGTGGATGTTACAGAGATGAGTTAAGAATAATTGATGCTGCCTTTATGTACAAAACAAATATGTGTGTTTCAAACTTATTTCCATGCGGCCTTTACGTTGGCATTGTGAAGCAAAACAACCACTAGAGGCCAGCGCAGACAGTTTCTGAGAACAGACATGTTGACGCTGGGGCAGCTTGTGATAATATAGCTCTTTAGAAACAGTTATAACAGCAGCATTGTAAACAAATGATGACGTGGGCAATTCATTCTTTGTTGAAATTTCTTTCTAATGCCCTATGATTGTCTTGCTTAAACTTTTGGCTACGGTGCCCCCACATGATTTCCTGTGGTACTGTTCCGTTTCATCTGTTTCATCCAAACCAACAATCTTTCAGAAGACAATCACAAATATAGAGAAAATGAACGCAGAGTATGGACAGAAGGGTCTGTCTGTTTGATGTTGAGAATAACTGAGCCTTTACATTGAATTAAGAAACTGTTATATAACTGTTTGGGGCTGCAACAGTGATCAGACAGACAAACCACATGAGACATATCTGACTTAAACTGCATTTAGACATGCTCTTCACTCTGCAGGTCCTCCCGATTTTTTTCAACAGGGACTGTATGTAGGAATGCACATGTCTGAGTGAGTGTCTTAGTTTCTGCAGACTTTCAGCGACTGGCCCCCTCGTACAGAGTCCGCAGAAAGTCCACAGAAAGTCTGCAGAAGTCGATGTGAGAAAAAAGCAGCTGCTGTACACTTTAAAAGTTAGTGTTAAGTTCTGTTGTGATTTGTGCCCAACAACATTCTAAGTTACAAAGTGCAACAAAATGTTACATTACAGTGAATCGACAGACAGAAAGCTGCTACAACATTTTCACATGATGCTGTATCTGTATTCGTCATTTATTAACAAGCAAATTAACAGTCATGTCAATTATGACCTACTTAACTGGTTATAGGGGCATTAAATGACCGGCACTGATAAACTAAATCAGATAAACTGCCAAGGAAATGATATGAACATCCCGTCTGGTTAATCTAGAAATACCCTTAAGTTTTCACAATAGAAATACTAAAATTACCAGCTGTGTTTTCCTTGTAGAAATTGGTTAAACTGGACTCTTTCTAACTGGAAACAAGGCGTTAAATTCTAATCTTAGTACATTATAATTTTAATCAAGTGAATTTGCACGTCCTTGGGATAATCCAGGCCAGGCTGATGACATGCAGCGCTCTCAAATGCTTCATGAAGCTATTCACGCCTCGAAATTCAAAATTAGCATTTTCATTTTGGCTCCACTCTCACTCACTCAACTTTGCAGCTGCATGTGTCCGTCAGTACTGAGAAACATCAAATCATAACTTCATTTACAGGGTGAATTACTGAAATCATAAAACGTCTTCATATGCTGACGATGAGGAAAATAATCAGTCCTCTGAATCTTCTGATGAAGTGGGTCATCAGCCTTTTGACCGACCACAGACACCACTGCATTATCGGACTCTTTGTCCTCCCTCTTTATGGTTCCTTAAACTCCTTTTAGTTTGATCCCAGGGAAGGATACGCATGGTTAGAGCCTTACATAACAGCACAGATAACAGGGTCTTCTACATAGTGCTATTTATATCCCATTTATTTCCATTAAGCTTAACTTATAGAACAAAACGATCAAAGAAATGTATGTATGTTATGTAAATGGGAATTTTAGAGAAGGGTTCAGATTCTCAGACAGCCACTTTCATCCGTAACAAAGAAAAGTCAAGGCGCCATTCTACAGTATGGAAACGGCTCTTTCACTTAAGAGTGAGCCAATAGCTCCCTCTGCTGTCTACATTGGAGCACAGGCCAAGATGTGTGAACTCCAATGCATGATCTCCTTCTACTAAAATCGCTGGCTGAAGAGTAGCCGTCTAATTTAATCTTTATGGGTTGAATGAGTTGTTTTACTGTCCCCATGTGTCCCTGCAGTATTTCCCGGTTCAGTTCCACAAGGGTGAGCACGGCTTTGACAACCAAGTGATGGACATGAAGCCTTTCTTCAGGGCAGTGGGTCCGGCGTTTCACAAGAACCTGGTGGTGGGACCTTTCGAGACGGTGAACATCTACCCTCTGATGTGTCACATCCTGGGCATCGAGCCGGAGGTCAACGACGGCCACCTGAATGCCACCAAACACATGCTGGTTACGAGCGCCGCTTCTCAGGGTGAGTTTGTATCAGACTAATGAGCCTCCCCCCGTGGCCTCAAAAGTGTGTCACTCCAACACCTGCTCCTTCATTACTGGGCCATTCATCCATCATTTCCAACATTACGTACAGTAAGTCCATATCAGAGGTAGAGCTACTGCAGGTTTAGACTAAAAGAATAGATCCAGACTAGAAAGATTCAGAAAGGAAGACGAAAACTAAGATCTGTCTGCTGCTGAGCAAAGGTTTCACCAAGTTGAATTGAGACTTTTCAGGATCATGATGAATACAGATCTATGTCAAGGACAACAGATATGACAGAATAATAACTGAAGATAAGGTGAGGTAGTCGAGTAGAGATTAACCATGGAAACACCAAGTTATCTCTCAAAAGAAAGACAGAGACAGTGGGTGTCCACAGCCGATTGTACTGAGATTAGTTTTGACCGGGTGTTTGTAGACAATCATTAATCAGCTCCACATGAGTCATGTCTGTAGTTTTATTACAGCGTGCTGTGTGGCTGAGAGAGAACTCTGACACAGAGCCATTACAAGGCAATCAACTGTCTATATTCTTTATTATCAGTATATTTATTTGTTGTTCTTGTATGGGGGTTTTATTTTTTGTTAAGTATGAAGAGCTGTTGGTTTTGTCGCAGTAAAACTTTGCTTTGCGGCTGTTTTTTCCTGCCATGTCACATTTTAATGATTGAAACCTTTAACATTAACTATGCATGCACTCGACACATTTCTCTTGGAAAAAATATATATTTTAAATTGTGAAGAAAGTAGTGAATATTAGCAAGACAGTATGTAACATCTTAACGTACTGACGACACTGAAAAGGGTAAAATTAA